AGTCATTGACATTTGTTGTTCAATAACAGCATCTATTATATAATAAAAAAAGAACGTATTAGACAGAAGAGAAAGGTACAAGAACTAATTATATTTACAATCTAGATAACGAAGATTAGTGTTGTCATCATAAAATAGTTGGCCTGTTGTATAGGCTTGATCGAGATCATGAAGAAATATATTCATTGATGGATAGTCAAATACAGAATGATGAAAATTGAAAATGACTACATCTTTGTCAGAAAGTAGATGATTTGAAGAGATTCGTTTGTGATAAACAAGATGGCATCGAAACACAAGACCTTCAGCAGCATCAAAAAGTTGAGGATTATATTTTTCTTCATGTATGATATCATTGAGTTGTTCTTGTGTTTCATAAGTGCTTTCAATAAATGTAAGTAATTGTCTATTTTTATCTTTCATATCAATGATTCGTTGCAATAGTCGATCGGTTTCTGTATGAAATATGACGGATGTTCGAAGCGATTGATGCTTTGTGACAATTAGTTCGAGAGCATGACGAAGATGTTGTACTGATAAAGTATGATGTGAGTGAAGACGATAAAGAAAAGGCATGTTGTAAATTGTTATTTGTGATATGTGGGGAGTGAAATGCATAGATTCATTATGCCATAGTCGACTTTGTGAAAATGATGCTGGAGCTATATGAAAGAGAAAGCAACCGAGTATGATTTATGATATTACTTGTCAAATGTATTTTGTGTGAGTCTTAATCATTATCGGATTAGTTTAAGAATGGAGCTTTTAAATAGTATAACTAATGTTTCTGTTTGCGAGAGACATGTGTGCTATTATATCGATCATTCACAAGAAACTTAAAATAAACAAGCAAATGAAATAGGTCGTCATAATGGTTTACATACATCGTCAGTTGCATTTCCTATTGAATTCTTTAGTGTTTCTAACAGTTGAACTTGGGAACTTTTTCCAATAACATAGTAACTTTTCGAAAAACCTTTTTGGAAATTGAAGGATATTTGACAACAATAGACAACTTTTGTGAACAAATATGTTGTATTATTCTATGTGGAAGAAAGAGATGTCTATGGAGGAGAGTTAGACAAAAGTTTTATCGATGACATAAATACTCATTTTAAGCGGCAAAATAACACTTGAATCAAACATGTTAGTCTTCAAAGTGAAAAGAACACAAATCGTAGGACATTTCACACTATTACATAGCTGTCTATAAGAAAAATCATCTGGTATAATGAATTTATGCTGTCATATATGAGAAAAAACTTGTGGGTGAGTGTGGGTATATATATGAATAAAGAATCTTCATCCAAATCCATTCATAGTCACACACCCACCCAATGGTTGAGCGCTGATTCTCGGATGAACTCTATGATATAGAAACATATCCTCAATGATATTTCTGTATAATATATGGACTGTCAATATAAATGTTCATTAGGAACAACATTATCTAGATATATATACCTTCGTTCATTATATGTGATTGTCGACAAACGATAACATCTTCCATTTCTTGAGTTTCTTCTGGTAGAATAAGATCGAGTTTCGACATAAATGTAAAACCTCTATCAATCTGGTTGATAGTTTCATTCGATGAAAAAAGTTGTTGAAAAAAATATTCTAATCTTCGACCTATATTTGTAACTGTAATCTCATCAAACAGATCATGTGAACAAGTCAAACGAAATGATAATCTATTATTTTCCAATATTGGATTATAGACAAACATTAACATAAAATCAAACTTAGCCACTTCAAATGATCGTTCCAGTGACACTTGTTTGAAACTTGCTTCATCCAAAGATAATTCATCGCTCTGTGGCGATAAAGTTATAAAGTCATACACTGTTTCGAGAAATGAAATATTTGATTGGTTAATATGTAAATTAGCAAGAATATATTGAAGTGGATAATGGGAATGTTCAAGAATTGATAAACATTTTTCTTGCACATATTTAACAAGATCATCAAATAAACAATGACGATCAAGTTGAAGACGATATGGTAATGTTGAAACAAACATTCCCATTATATTCTGCAGTTCAGTTCTGTATCGATTAGCATTAAGACAAGAAATACACAAATCATTTTCGCCATGAATTAACTTGAAAAGAAAAGCATATAATATAGACAGACCTAACTGAAATGGTGTCACATGACGTATAGAAGCATAATCAAGAAATGATTGCGAAATCTCGTTGTCAAAAGAGATTTGAGTGACAGAAGCAGAACTCGATCGATGATCATTGGACAAACGATGTCGATCAACTGGTAATAATAGGTGAGATTCGAAATTGTATTCTTCTAATTGTAAATACCAAAACTCACGAGATTTTGTCATATCAATTAGACGCTCATGTATACTATAATCAATATATTGCAATGATTCATCATCATCTTCTATTGATATTGCATTAGTACTATAAGCGAAACATAAATCATTAGAAAAGATTGAAAAACTTGCTCGATCAAATGCCGCATGATGAAAAGCAATGAGGAGAACATCAGAATTAGTTATGAATTCATTATTATTATTTTCATTTAACGATATTTGATGTCTCAGAATTTCAGCATGAAAAACACGACCAGTTGATAAATCAAAGAGATTAGGATTAATAGTTGTTTGATAGATAATGTCTTGAAGTTCATTATCATTTTCAAATGTTTGATCCATAGTGATTGTGAATGTTTTGTGTATATCTGTAATGCATTGTTTCAAAATACCATTATCATTATTTAACATAAGAGATGTCCGTAATACTTTATGTTTATTCAAAACATATCGAAATGCTTGTGATAAACGAGTTAATGATAATGATCCTTGAACAATTTGTAAAGTCGATAGTTCATTATAGATAGCTATATCACTTGAAAAACGAACTTGTTCATCGAGAAACATACGCTCTTGAGCAAAAGAAGCAATACCTGTCAATTATATAACAGAATTTATGAAAACTGCTTTAGTAAGTTCCTAGTAAACGCTTTTACCTTCATTTATATGTAACGTGTACCATTGTGTTGCGTTGACATTATTTATTATAACTGTTTGAAGTAGTTGTGAATGTTGAAAAATAGTTGGTTGCTGAAGAAATGGAGCAATCGAAAGTGTATGAGCATCAAAGTTAAATACTGATTGATAATGATGATAAAGTTCAATAAATAACAGTGAATGACCACCAACACTGAAAAAACTGGTAGTTCTAGCAATGCAATTTTCATTAGAATGAAGAACTTGACACCAAATAGTGTGTATACGTTTTTCGAACTGATTAAGAGGAGTATCAGATTTATCGGACAATAACGAAGTCGATAAAGAAAATTCAGGTGAAGGAAGTTGTTTTCTGTCTACTTTTCCATTTGGATTCAATGGTAACTTATCAAGAATAATAAAGAAAGATGGAATCATATGTGGTGGAAGATGAGATTG